TGGATGGATGGATGCATGGATGGAGGATGGATGGATGGATTGAATGGATGGATGGATGAATGGATGAATGGATGAATGGATGAATGGATGAATGGATGGATGGATGGATGGATGGATGGATGGATGAATGGATGGATGGATGACACTGACCTTCGGCACAGGCTCCAGCTGCTGCACCTGGTTGCTGCTCAGCAGCGTCTTGATGAGCATCTCCACCTTGGAGTTGTGCTTCATGAACGTCACGTAGCAGGTGTAGCACATCAGCAGGCTGAAACTTTCCAGCACGGTGATCTGATTATCCAGAAAGAAGTAGATGAGCATGAGCAAGCCGATGATGTAAAAGGTGACGTCTCTGAACAGGGGCCACCAGGTGAGGTGCAGCACTTCTTTGGAGAACAGAGCGCACATCCCGATCACAAACAGGATGTTGAACACGGCAGACCCCACGATGGTACCGATGCCTACGTTACTGTGGGAGACGAAGACCCCTATGACGGAGGTGAAGAGCTCTGGGGCTGATCCACCTGCTGCCATAAAGGTGGCTCCAGCTACATCGTCCGAGATCTCCAACTTCTCCGTGATGACGGTGAGCGCAGGGACAAAAAACTCATCACAAACTATGGCCAAGGCTATGAACATGTATAACATTCCAAACATGTGAAGACCCACGAAGCCACGTCGTCTGTCCTCCACGCTGAAGTAGTCTCTTGGGTAGTCTCCTTTATTCATTTCTGAATGAGACTTCATGGCCACGGGTGTGTCCTCGGGAGCTGCCGAGAGGTTCTGGTGCTGCAGGAGAGTTCTTTGGGGCACGGCTGCATCAGCTGATCCCTCAGCAGACGACTCCAGCTCAGTGGCCACTGCTGTGGCCAGAGACAAGGCACTGAGTGAACAAACTGTGCAGACGGCCACCACGCTGAAGACGAAGCCTAGGATGCGTCCGGTCCGCAGCTTTCTCTTGACGCCCTGGTAGTGGAACCAGTTTTTACTGCTGTGGTGATCCAGAAAAGGGTCGGGGCAGGAGTAAGCTATCATATCTTGACCGTTTATGGGTAGGGTGTAATCCATGGCGTCTGGTGCTGGTTATCAAGCAGAGACGATGTGTCTGGAATCCCCCCACTCCCCTCCAAAGCTGGTTTGGTGGTGCTGGTGGTTACAAGTCGGGGATTTGACGGGCAGCAGCAGTTCACCAGTCGGTTTGCATGCTGCTCCTAGGTCTAAACACCATGGAGACCCTGTAGTCTAATCCCAGGATTCAAGACCTTCAAAGGTTTCCTCATATTAATCACTGCAAAACAGAGAAAACACGAATGTTTTAATCTCAAAGTGCAGATTGAACCCAACTGTATAATGTCAAAAACAAAATCAATCTCTAATTTACCAACAATTATACAAATAAAAAAGCACGGACACTGAAATCTATAAATATAGTTTGATTCTTTTTTTATGTCGCTTTGCATTTTTCTCATTGCTGATAACCATTCATTTGATATTCAATTCAGTTTATTTATGTAGCGCCAAGTCACAACAGAAGTCGTCTCAGGGCACTGAACAGAAACAATGATATATATATATATATATATATATATATATATATATATATATATATATGTAAATTATAATTTAACATTATTTATCTGAGGAGCAGACTGCTTTGAATTTAACTCCATTGCAGAACTCTCATCTTGAGCAAGCACAAAGGCGACAGTGGAAAGGAAAAACTCCCTCATGAGGATGAAACCTTTAGCAGAACCAGGCTCAGGACAAGCGGCCATCTGCTTCGACCGGCTGGGTTTGAGAGGAATAGATACACAATGGCAGGTCAAGACTTACATGTTAAGATAGAAATAGTATCAAATGAAAACTATTAAATTTTAACAAACCGTTTAAAGAAATTAGGTCAAATTATCCTCCAGTAGTCTAAGCCTATAGCAGCATAACAAGCCAACCCTAACGGTTCCTAGAGTTTCCAAAAGCAGAATGGGAGGAAGATCTTTCAGTTATCAGGCTCCTCTCTTGTGGAACCAACTTCCAGTTTCTGTCTGTGAGGCTGACACATTGTCCAGCTTTTAGACTTTCCTTTTTGATAAATCCTCCAGTTAGGATATATTAGTTGTAAATGTATTCAATTACCCACTTACTCCTGTTCATGGTTTGGAGCTGGTGCTTATCTCCAGCGGTGAAGGCGAAGGCAGGGTACACCCATGACCAGTCGCAGCCCATCACAAGGACATAACAAACATAAATAAGTCCAGTTGTAACTCACTACACACCTAAATGTTTGTTCAGTAACGGTCTATCAGTAATTGTTTTCTAGTCGGATCAGAAGAAAACGCTCAGGTAGGTCCAGTTAGTTCCTCATAAAATTCGATACACCGTTGAATAATTCAAGAAGACTTATTTATAAAACTTCATTTTGTTGTAATGACTCTCAATAATAAAATCAGAATGAATATCTAAATTATTTTCAACTATTTTACTTAGTAACACAAAAACAACTGTGAACAAAAACATCTAAATTGAAACTTCTGGTTTCATGATTTGAAAATGTGTGGATTTTCTAAACTTGATTGTAGCAACGTGTTTCATAAATCAGGGGTTCTCAAACTTTTTGGGTTCAGGGCCCCCCTCATAACCCTCGTGTTTATGATTTTTTTTTTTCAATTTGTCTTTTTAATGCAATGGAAATGTTTGTGTAACATAAATACTTAAGAACTGTTCTTTAATAGTGGTAATATAATTTTTATACTTTTAAACATGGAGTATTTTTCATTCAAGACACACTTAACTAACAGCATTTTTAATTTCAATTTCCAAAAATTAAAGTTTTGAGAAAATGAACCGCATCAAAAGACACTTTAAAACTTTACCTATTCACATAATGAACATGATCAACGTATCGTCACTTCTTTTAATTATTACAGAAAACTATTTACATAAAACTGAACAGAATCATAACAGCAGTCAGACCAAGTAACAGAGCTTCATTTGTAAACTGATCGATGCTGGAACGCAAATAGTGGGTGGGCCCCTGGGGGGATTGGTGCGGGGGGGGGGGGGGCTGGGGGTCCTCCCCCAGAAATTTTTGAATAAAATAGATGTGATTTCCTGCATTTTGGTGTATTTTAACAAGTTATTATACATTTAAGTGCTTTAAAATAAAAATAAAAATAAAAAGACTCCCAAGCACTGGTTCGCGGACCCCTGGGGGTCCGGGGACCGCAGTTTGAGAACCACTGTAATAAATACAGCACAGATTGGTAAGCTGACATCTTTAAGAAGTCAAAGTTAGGTGGGGTTCACCACGTAGGACTCAAAAATGTAAATTTTCTGAATCTTTGTTGCAAAACTGCAAATGTGAGTTTATAATGCCAAGATTCTGAGAACCTGAAGAATTCCCTGTACACAAAGAACACAGCTAAAGTTCGGCTGTTTTTGAACTGGCTGTAATGTTTTCAAGGATTCAAGGATTTTTTTTATTGTCATATGTTTATGGTAAGAAATTCAGACTCAGGTCCCAGATCTAGAAGCCTAATAATTAACAAATAAATAAATACAAAAGAGCACAAACATACATATAATAAATAAAGTTTAAAAAATGTAAGATGAAGCTGAATTAAGTGCAGCTCGAGCTCGACCCTCAGGATCATGTATGAGCTTATTAAAATTCATGCAACACATGGGTTCTGGATTACTTGTGCTTTAGTGGCATTTTACAACTGAAAGAGTTAAAACACACACACAAGTTCTCAAAGTCCCCAGGTTTGTACACAATGCAGCTTTAATAACATCAAATAAATAAATTACCAACACAGAAGTTGGCCCCTGATAGACTGACGTGCAGCTGAAAAATGTATTTGAGTCTGATTTATTAAAACATGATTGTCTTTATAAAAGTGACAGATGTTTTTTTACCCCAAAGTAAGCAGTGAGGGGCCATTTAGGATGTTCCTCACTGAAAGATTTGAGCATCTTTGGGGGTGCATCTGTGCAGAAGACCCAGAGACCCACCTATCCAGGAACACACCATAATTTCTGAATGACAGATACAAGTCCTGGAGATTCAATAAAGTTATTCTTATTTATTAATACATTTTCTGTTGTACTTCAGTTAAAGAAAATCTCTGCATAAGAAAGAAATATCAAAACTGAACAGTTGAACAGCAACAGTTTTTACAGTTTTTAGGGGGCTTTGCACAATTTATCATGGTTGGATTACAAATAGAAATTGTATAAGTGTATAAAATATATCTAAATGCACGATTTTCTGGCGGGTTTATAGTATCTGATGAATTAGAGATAAAGATATTTATAGCAACAGTTTTGTACAAGTGACAAAGTTTTGTTCTGCTGAGATCCTTCAGAAGGAGCTGCTCTTTAACTGAAGCTGGGAACATTAGTGAAAGCTCATTAGGACGCAATTTAATCCCCGAGAAGATATACTTAAATTAGCCTGAGGCCCTGCTTGCTACTGCCACAAAGTCAAAAAGCAAACTGATTTAAAAAAATTACAAGAAATTAAAGCTGTAGTATCACTTATTTTAAATTTAAAGAAGCAAATTTAAGAAATACTGACAACAATTCTTATTCTTTCCATTCTGCCTGGTTTTAGAGTGCAGTGAGACATTATTATCACACATTTTAAGCACAGTTTTAAAGGTTTTTAAATCTTGAATTCTGGTGTTGAAGCAGCTTTTAATCAGAATGAATTCCTTCAAGAACCACAATTAAGTCAAATTACAGAACTAGGTTTGTTCTCATACCACAGGAAGCCGTCCAGCAGGCAGCAGCCGGTCAGATCCAGAGTTTCTGGTAAAATATTCCCATTAAAATGACTCCCAAAGCGGAACAATCCCCAGCACCTAATGTTCGATCTGAAGGTCCCAGCGGTTAATCCTCAGTGGGATTTTCATGTGTGAGCAGAGGTGGAGCTCAGAGAGAGAGAGAGACACTCCCTCCATCACTGTTCCTCCGCCTTGTGCTGTGTCCCTCTCTGCCCCCCAAAATGGAAAGAACATATAACTGTCCAACTGTTACAAGCACCTTTTATTTCCAGTTTCAAGAAAATCAAACTTAGAAAACACATGGAAATTTTGCACACGTTTTTACCACGGAGTCAAATATATTACAGGTGCAAATTTCTATTTTAAATTAAACTAGCATTCTGCACATCACTTGTGATGTTAAACGCCAACACTTGAAGCATGTGATGGGGAAGATTTTTACTGCAACACCAACCTTTAGCTCAAACAAATGGCTGGGTTGTAGACATTTTTGTATTTGCAATTGTCTAACAGCTATGGGCCTGCTTGAAATGGGTTAACACTAAAAGTTAATCACTTGTAGATGAACGGCGATTACTTTCTAAAAGTTTCATTTAATTTCCTCTAGTAGTTCAAGAGATATTTTGCTAACAGGCAAACACAGAAAGTTACATGAACACCCTCCATTTTTGCATATTGTCAGACAGTTTGTGCTCCACATTTTAGTTCTAAATCAGGAGCTGCTGGAGGTGAGCTCATCCTGCCTTCTGTCTTTGATGCCCCACTCGTCTGTAATTGGCTCTGGGTGCAACACCTGCTCTCTGCAAACATTACAGACGACCGTTGTTCAGACACAATGACACGGTTAAACTCACAATTACACCAAAAGTAGGCCTAGTCTAAAATGCATCCTCTAAAAATGTATTATTTGGCCTAAATGCTGGAAATATAAAATGTTTTGAGGTTATCACATTGATTTGGTCATTTGCATGCAAAAAAAAAAAAAAAAAGAGTTTTGTTAAATATTAGAAATGAAAACTTAAAAGCTGGTTGGGTCCTTTCTTCTCTATTGAACTGCAAATTGTTTCTGTCTTTCGGCAGTTTCATTTGTCAGGAGTTGCCACAGCGAGTCAACTTGCACAAAGATCCGGCAATGGTTTTGTTGCCCTTCCTGACGCAACCACAGACCACCGAGCTACCACAGCCCTCTGTGCGGAGCAGAGAGTTGCTATAGGGCACCCGGAGGAGCAGATGACGGGAGTTGAGGGCCTTGCTCAAGAGTCCAGAGTGATGCAAATGAGGATGGAGGCAGGTGTGGTTATTTCACATTTCCCACACACATTTGATGTTGTCAGTCCGGGGATTTGAACCAGCGACCTTCTAATCACAGGCT